CTCTCTGAGAACACCCAGCCTCCTCCTAATTTTTTGTTATATCACACTTAGTCCTTTATTGAGACACAGGGCAAGAGCATAAAAGATTTTCAACTCCCGTAAGAATATCGTTTCCCTTCTTCCTGACTTGCAAGTCCAGCCCCCAGGCTCGGTGCCAAGGCCGCACCTGAGGGAGGCATAAACCCACCCACACAGCAGGCACCCACGTGCCACCCTGAGAAAAGGCACGCTCCCCCTCTGTGGGTCCCTACGGGAAACCTGTAGCGACCTCAAATAAAATTTGATGTGTTAAGATTAAATAAACTATCTACCAATGATAAGCCTTAGGGTGACGGGGCCCAGCAGCGCCCTCTGCAGTCAGGCTGCTGAGCCGGCCGCTTCGTTTGAACACGGACGTAAAACTGCAGCCCCGCAGGCCTCCCTCACACGGGCCCAGCGCCGGCCGGGATCTGGAGAGTGACTAAGGCGCCCAGTCCTCCCACAGGCGGCGTGGCCTGAGAGCGGGCACGGCACGGCCGGGCAGCAGCGGGCAGGCGGCCGCGCCCTCTTCACCGGCCCCGCTCGCCCCGAAGCTGCGGAACTCGCTTCCAGGCCTGAGGGCTGTGGGTTCCAGACACCGCTGGCGAGAGAGCCCCGAGACGCGAGCCCGGGGTCCCGGTCTCACCACAAAACTTCCCTTTGAAACCCCCCACTTCAGTGTCAGGGGGTACTAGACTTTTCGGGGTGATCACTTCATAAGTTGTACAAATATCTAATCACTAAGTTAAACACTTGAAACTAATACAATACTGTATGTCACCTGTAATTGAAAAAGTAAACATTTTTTTAAAAGATTGAAGAAGGAATTTGCTATTTTGGTGAATGAGTCATCAGTAAGTTAACTCCCATCCATTCCGAGAACTCAGCATCTGAAATACGTATAAAAAAGTAAATTTACCTGCAAAGTACCAAATTACTTTTATTTTTAAAAGTTTTCGATTTTAACAACTGTCAAATTTAAGAAAACTGATTTTAGTTAAAAATTAAGTTGGAAACCAAGCTGCCTATTTCCAGCACAGCTCTGAACCCCCGACCGGGCCAGGGCCGGTCCCTCCCGTCCGGTTCTCCCCAACGAGCAGGGACAGCTCACCACCCAGCGCCGCATCGCAGCTGCTCCAGTCACTCGGCTCCTTTCCGTGACTACAGCGCAGTTTTCTTTACAAGAAGTTATTCAAATGAGACTTTCTATTATAAAAATATGCTTAATGTGTTTTAGAAATTGTCTCAACTTTAAACTCAGTAAGATTAAATGCCATTTTGTAAAGATTTAAAACGGTAAATCATTTTCCTTCATTCTTGACTAAGCTGATGGTCAGTCAAGCTGGACAGCAGCAAGGACAGTGCAGCCCAGCAAGGCCCCCCCTTCTACCTGCTGTCCCCACAAGGGCAGTTCCATTATGAGAGCAAGTTTCATAGCCTCCTACGTGGCTTTCTTCAGATCAACACTCGGACCTCAGAGTGAACAGGTCACGAGAAGGGACACACTCTGGTCAGAGCCAGGGCCCTAGGCCAGAAGGCCCTGCACTTCTAGGGACAGGCACACTGGCCACTTGACCCGCACACCCGATGGGAAGGGGCGAGCCTCAGGTTTGGGACAGAAATCCCCGCTCCAGTGCTTTTAGCTAAGCCCTTGAGCAAACTTATGTCCCCGAGTCCTTTACCTGCACAATTCTTAGCTCCTCTCCTTGTCTTTTTCTTTCCAGTTTTGGTTGCCAAGCAAAATCAGAGTTTAAAAGAAGCAGCCCACCCTACAGGCCATTTCCCAGTGAACACCAATCCCCTACAGACCCTCCCCTCGCAGGAAGTCCCCTCCAGGCTCCACACCCAAGAGGAGACACAGGTCCCTCTATCCCCACATGAACCCCCACTACCCCCGACACCCACACTCACTAGGGCCCTCCCGCCACAGCTCCCAACAGAGCTCAGACCTGGGGCGACAGATGATGTCCTTTCCCTGCTGACAGCCTTTCAAGCGCTGGGAACAAGTGTGTCTCTAGGACCCGTGCACTGGAGAAAGGAGGTCCATTCCGACGAAACGTTACCACGAGGGCAAGCTCCCTGTTAGAAAACCGACCGGGGGTTGCCAATGGAATCTGAGGTTTGGTTGGGTCCAAGAATTGCCTTACTTCGAAAATATACCCAATAGATATCACTGCAGTTTCTCGTCGGGCAGGAGTCACCCTGAGGAAGGGAAGCCTGTCCCGGAAGCACAACGCAGCTACACCACCAGAGCGCAACACCTCTGCCCTGAACAGCGGTCCCCAGACTGGAGGTGGGTGCTTATGTGAAGACTTAGGCATTTTCTTTACCTGAGCCTGCAGTAAGGAAGAAACTAGCTTATCAAACCTGTGATAGCAAAGATCTTGTTACTTGGGATAAGGTGAGGTTAAAAGGTGACTTAGCAGAAACCACCACAGGACAAGATGGCACTGTGGACAAAGCAGCAGGCACACGATTTAAGTTTGGGAGAAAGTACACAAGTGTGGACTCTCCCCCAGTCACCCATCCTGAAGCCAAGGCCTTAATGAACCTGCAGTTACAACCCCATTTCCATCTGCATTCTAAAGTTTTTGCTTCACGGACAATGCCCGAAGGAGCCCCATCTAATTACACACAGTGGCAAGAAAATCCACCGAGACGGCGTCCGTCTCCAAGCAGGAAGCAAGGCCACGTCCACCTCTGTGACTGTGCAGATGCCCTGTGTGGCCGCTGCCTCTTTCCACAAACAGCAGGGAAGCAGGGCCTGGGGCAGGGCGAGCCTTCTCTGGAGCCCACCCCTTTCCAGTCTCTTACCTCAGTGGCTGACTGTTGTGCTCTTTCCTTACCACCAGCAGGCAGCTTTGCAGAGCCCTAACCACCCAGATCAGTAGGCTGGGAAAAGTTTATGACCTTAACAGGGCCACAGGCATCCAAAAATCTAAGCAGCAGGGAGGTGAATTCAGCCATCCGGTTAATGGCATGCACGACAGAGGCCTAATGGAGCAACTACTACTTAAATACGCCAGACTCAGGATCAAAAATGCTGTTGACACTTTCATGGACCTCGGGATGTTCTCAACCTATTTAAGGGATAAATCAATACTGTCCATATAGTAAAATAAGTTGTGATACTTAAACTGACAGCACCCTCAGGCTGTGTCCCAGCTGCCCCCTCCCCATGCTGTGTAAAGTGCCTGCTGGGCCCGGCTCCAGCAGGGCCGCTGCGTCTGCACTGCTCCCAGGAGCACACCACTGGGCTCCCTGAAATGATCCCGAGTCGCCCTGCACCACCTCCAGTCCCACCAGTGCCGGCTCAGCAAAGCTGTCAGAAAACAGGTTCATGTGAACTTCTCCACGCTGTAAAGAGGCCTCTGGCCAGTGAGGGGAGCCATTGGTCTGGTCTGTGAGCGCTGTAAACATCGTGGTGGATCAGACTCCACCACCCTTCTCCATTTGCTGAGACAGTCTGTTCATAGCTGCTACAAGGAGCCCACAGGTTAGGAGAGATTTAAAGTGAGTTCATTATGGTCAGGTCACTGTAAAGACATACTATAAAGACATTACAGTTGAATATCACTGTAAAAACATACTTTTTTTTTACACGATGGTTTTAATTGAATTCAAAGATGTTTATTGCATTCTGTTTTTGGTGGGAAAACGTAACATATATTTCTTTAGCACAGCCCGTGGAACAGAGCGATGGGAGGAAGCCCTTCCTCCCTGAGTCCAGGATGGGGCCTGGCCCGGAGCTGTGTGGCTGTAACTAAGTATTTCCTGCACTAGTTGGGCAACATGTGTAACATTTATTAATTTTCTCCTTTCAGTGTAGGCAGCAATTCACCGTTTTCTTTCAGTTCCTAAAAATAAAAAAGAAAACAGTAACATGTACACATACATGTAGAAAACAACCTAACTAGAGACTGTATCTGCATCAGAGAACAGAAAGACACCAGTTCACCAAACACTCTAAGTATGAGGCCACACAAACCATCAGACGACTGTCAGGTTACAAAATTAAGGTAAAAGGTTTCTCTAAAGCCAGCAGACTGTTTAGCCTTAGTGAATGCAGCAACTGGGACAGACAGTGAAGCCTCCTATTTAAACAACAGCAATGACAGATGGGGGAGGAAACCAAGTGACTGAAGGAAAGGCAGTGAGGTGTTACTGTCCACACAAACGTGCACACAACACCCGCTGCCCATGTCACTACTCCAACCCAACCTGGAAAAGCAACAGCACTACTGCGTAAATATAAATGTAAAGGCCAGAAACCAAGTAAGACATAGTAATTCAGAAGCATTTTGTGCCTATCTTTCAGAAAATTTGGAATATGGCCATCAAGTGTAAAATGTGACAAAAAAGGGTAAGATTTTCTAGTTTAAAATATTAATTTGATGTCACATGTCAGGTTCTTACGAAGCAACCTGAACATCAATCAGTAACCCCACTCAAGCTCATCTCTGGATTAAACCCAGGTGGGTGCGATCCTGTTACAGGCGCTCACAGTCCTCAGTGATGTCTTGGGATCTGCTACCCAGGAAACAGCACTCTGCTGCACCTAAGGATGCACAGGGCCGTACTGAGCACACGCCCCAGAAGGCCGGTGGCCTCAGGTAGAATGTGGCCTCAAGGACTTCCTGGATGTGGCATCGCAGACAGCTCGCCTGCTTCTTCAGGTCTGTGACCCCTCCTCTGGTGACAGGGACGAGGCTTCTCTCGGGCTGCTGCACTAGAGCAGTGTGCTGGTCGGCATGAGTCCTGAGACACAACAACTGTCCTCATGGGCAATTTAAAGGGCAAATGGATCTAAATACTCTGACTCTCTCCAAACTCTGCAGGAGTAGGCTCTTCAGAGCTAAGGTTAACTCACTGAGTCCATGTTAATCAGTGGCTAAGGTCCTCAGGACAGGAGACTGAGCCACTGACTTACTAATTCATTTAGCCAATCACCCATTCGACAGAAAAGCCAGCACAGACCCCCTGGAACATAACCGATGTCTTAACTGAACTACAGATGAAGAACCCACTCTTCAAGAAACACACCAAACTGCCGATCCAAGAGCTGTTCCCAGTTATCTTCCCAAAGAACAAATTTCCAAACATCTATGTTCTCGGCAGGTAAGCATAAAGTTATATAGCGAACACCCTGCTATGTACCTAAGAAGAGGCTGCCCGAGCAGCGAGGCTGTAGAATTAAGTGAGATTTATTGATTGTATCTTCCCAGGAGTCACCGATGGCTCAGGTACAGGCTATAAACCACTCAGACAAGAGCAGGCTCGAGAGAATTTGGGGTCTGAAGACTGTTGTGTCTTACAAAAATAAAACACATGTATAAAATAACAAATACAGATCTCTTTCTGTTGCTTCCGGGCTATTCAAAAGCTACTAAGTTAGACTTTTTTTTTCCACCGGGAGTAAGATTGTTTACTAGAAAAATGCCTCCCTGGTTTGCTTGAACAGTGTGATGTCAAACCTGGAAGCCAGCCGGAGACACCTGCATAGAGAAGAACCAGGAGAGCAGCCTCTGCATGGGAAGGCCATGTTTATAAAACCTGCGACCCACAGCACTGGTCACGCAGGTCAGCCTCAGCCTTTTTCACATTACAAAGTGCGAGTTTAAAACTTTAATCTCCAACAGAACTAGAAGCAGTACTACTGGAGGGGCTCCCCGGAGGAGCAGCCAGTGTCGGGAGAGGCCCCACAGCAAGGGAGAGACTAGCTCAGGTGAGCGGTGAGGACAGTCTGACACAGCAGTGGCAGTGAGATGACAGGCCATGACAGCCCTAGACATGGTAACACTGGTATAGCAGCGACTGGATGTGAGGCCAGAAGAGAAAGGCAGCAAGGACAGCCCGAGGGCTCCTGTTAAAAATGAAATTCTAATTTGCCAGCATGCCCCAGCTCTCAGCTGCTTAGGGCGCCAGATGGGCTGGGACCTCACCTTAACGATGTCCAGCCCGCCAATGAGCTCCCCTTTCACATAGAGCTGCGGGTATGTTGGCCAATTGGAGAAGGTTTTCAATCCCTGCCGAACCTGTGGAAACAAAAGGAGCCTGAGACCTGCCAATCAGGCCCGAGCGCGGACAGACAGACAAGGGACATCAACCAGGAACTTACGTCTCCGTCTTCCAGAACGTCGAACGTCTCAAACTCAACACTGCAAAAAGGAGAAACGCTTTAACAGGCAGCTCAGTTTTACACAGACACTGTAGCACCTATTCGTGCTTTTAAAATACTCAAGAAAAGTAAATAAACCGTTTTGGTGGTAACAAAATTAACTGTAGAAAAACAGAAAAGATTTTACTTCTTAATCTGTCACACACTACTCAGAATAAGTCACCCCAACACACTTATGTGAGCTAGGGTCTGGCACTGGCCAGAACGCTCCATTGTAATCGAACATGAAGCACTCACAGAGCAGAACAGCAAGAACGAACAGACGGGAAATACAAGGTACAGACGTAACTGAAGAGTCAGAATTTCTCAAACAGAAGACGTACTTACCCGGTACTATTTAGTATTTCCAGAATCTGTTTGCTGAATCCACACTTAGCTTCCTAAATGTAGAGAAAAAAATTGAAGATGTGCTACCTTTCCACACGACCCATGTATGGCTGCCCCTACGGCTCTGCCGTGGGCATGGACAGACCTCCCAGGGCCCCTTCACATCACAGGGCAGTCAGACAGGTGAGGGTCCAGAAGACACCTGGCACCCTCCCTGCAACTCCAAGTACTGACCCCCCAGACACCATCCTAGATGCACAGCCCACAGACTCACATCAGTCTGTCACCATCGGGAAGGTGTGTCCAGTAGCTTCTAATCTTTGTGGTCGGAAGTCCCTCCGAGTAACCCTGATACCCTCCTGAGACGTCACTTACACAGAGGATCTCAACATTCAGCATTTCTGCCACCATCGTCACTTTCCTGCTCCACTACACCCCACTAGAGATCCACACTTCCTGAGGTTATGGAAATCTCACCTTTTTCAGGCATAGGATCCCGAACCCCATCAATCCTGAGGACAGACTTGGTACCCACAAACATCTTAATGACGTTAATAATTATGTTCCCAAAATGCACAAAGACTGTTTGGGCTTCCATAAAAAAGTGTTTTGAGAATAAAAATAATCACCAAAAAAACTACTGGGTACTATCAGTTCCACTACTTTGTTTTAATACATGTATAGTGCACACTAGTCAGAGAATCCAGGTCCTTACCCAGCGATCATGTTGAAATTCCCATGATCACCTTCCTAGTCATACTGCTTTCATTATGAGTTACATTAACTAATTCCATACGTACACTAGCTGTTCCACTGTATTAGTTACATTAACTTCCACACGAGTTACCGCGACCTCGTTCTGAGACGCTGTGAAGCATCTGCCATCTGTTCACAGAAGGGGAAAGTGAGGCTCTGTGAGGCTGTCAAGGAAGCTACAAGAACCCCCGTTACAAACAAATGTGGCCCTGACATCAGAGGAGCCACAGGACAAAATGGACTTTAGGGGGAAGTCAATGTATCGGTGGTTCTCAACCAGTTAGGGGCAGGCCCTTTGAGAATTTGATAAACATTAAGAACTCTCTTTAGAAAAAGACAAATATGCAGTTACAGAAAACTGCCAAAACCATTTCACTCATTTATCAAACAAGTACTGAGCACACAGGAGGCAGCCAGGGTTTACTTGTCTGTCCTGGACACTTCCAAGGATGGTCTCCAGCTGCAAACCCGAGAACCATGAGGTTCCAGGACTCAGCAAGCACAGTGACCAGACTGCACTCTGTGGATAAAGTCACGGTCATGACAGCAACTCACAGAGCAGGGAGTGCCAGCAGTGCTGACCAGTCAGCTGACAGAGTCTGGCCACAGAAAGAAACGCACCCCACTGAGATGCTGAGGACACAGCCAGAAAATGCAGATGACTTGGTTTGATGTCCATAAGCACCAATTAAGGCCCAGATAACTTCCTGGTACCTCCGCGGCTTCATTAGCTAAAGCTGGGAAAAAGACGGTAAGTGTCCCCTTGCTGCAGATGTTAACATCAAAAGAAATTACACGCAAAACCATTTTTGAGTCCTTTACCTGTTTGTTTCCTTTCATAAAGAGCATCACAGAAGCTTTATTTGTCAGTACTTTGAGCCTAAAGAGAGAAAAATGACATGGAACGGCTCAGCTCAGTTATTAAAGCCCACTCTCGCTCCGCTCAGAACGTGCATGCTGAGGGGGAGCAGGAAGATAGTTCACAGCTCTTAGTGGCATTAAACAAGCAAATGCATTGACATTTTCCTGTATCTCTCTCTCTCCCTAAGCTGCTGTAAAATACAATATGGCTTTTTAAGGCAACAAATGTTCCTTCAAGTTGCAATTTAAGCCCATCAACTCAGTTCTAAGAAAATAATAATACCCAATTCAGTAAGGAACTGTTCAATCAGGGGCCCATCCAGAACCTCCAGCACTCCATCCTGCGCGTTCCCTCTCATCCTGAGGCTGTGCACAGCTCCGCACACTGAGTGCGCACATGGCTACCCAAGGGGCAGCGCTAAGTCTAGGAACACCACTAATACTAGCTGCTAAAATCAAATGCTCTCAACTTAACTTCAGGCTGGAATTTCAGGCAATCTTTCAAACATCAGGAGCTAACTTGCTATAAGAATTTTAGCCTACCATCTGCATATTAGCCTAGAGTTTAGAAACAGATCTCAGAACAGTTAGCGTGAGGACAATGGCTGCTGATGACCCTCTAGGCCGCATGGTGGCCCCCTCACCATGTTCTCCTCCTGTCCCTGTCTCTCTGGATCACTCATGGCTCCAAATCTCCTCAAAGAATAAAGTTGTCATAAATGGAAGCGCAAGTCGTGCACTCTCAATACAGTGCTATTAGCTAATTCTCAAAAAAACAGTAAGAAATAGCACGATGCTGATCCCAATCTCTCACCTAGTAACTACCACCTGGATCCAGGGAAGCAAACAGGTCCCTCTGTCCCACTCAGAGATGTCACCAAGCCCAGGAATTCTGGCTTCTGCACTTTTCCCACCAGGAGCCCTTTAAATTATTACTCAAAATACACTGAACTTCCTATACAATTCTAGACAGTCATCCATTGGTGCCTGACCACAGGAGACACAGGTGGATCCAACAGAGAGCAAATGAAAAGCAAAGACAAGCAGGACACGACCACAGCAGTCTGAGGCCACACAGCCTCCAGGGCCACGAGGAGAGCTCAGCAGAGGACCCTGGAGTCACAAAGGGACGAGCAGCATCATTTTCTTACCAAAAAGGCAGGAAAGGGTGTAAACCATTTGAGAAAGTGCACCACTTAAAGGTCGGCTTGACATATATGAAATGCTATTTATAAGGATTGTTTTATTAATCAAGGATAGATAAATCAGGTGTTCATTTTTAAACACTTAGAAATTCTCAAAATGTTAAATGGCAACAAAGGGACAAGAGAAAGCTTTATCTTACAATCGGAAGCACCAACAATGAATGCCTGATGCTGTTACACATCAAAAAAATTCCTTTTTAAACCTCTACATTAATTCATATTTATTGCAATAAAAATTCCTTTAAGTCTCCCTATAGTCCAAAGTCCAAAATTTCTATAAGATAAAATGTCTAAAAGCTGATTGAGATGCTTCATAAAACGAGTCGGAAGGATTTTACAGCCCGAAATCTCCCTGGATGTGAAGTTCTCGTGGTCTGGAAAAGCAACGAGAATCTCGTGTGTGCAGGCACCACATACACAGCACTGGCTGTCCCACTCCCACTCCAGGGCTCCAGTGGGACAGTGACGGCAGCAGCACCAGGGCCGCATGTAGGAAAACAAAGAACCAGGCTTATGCCATGAGCAGGACCGGTGACCAAAACCTAGACATCAAGACAGCTGAATCCTGGCTCCGAAATGCACAGAGACAACTAAAACTTGGTCGTCCCATTGTGGCAATGACATTTCTATAAAACAAAGAATATCCTGCACTTAATCATTAAACTGACACAAAACTTCCCCCAGCCTAAATCAGACCTTGCCGAGTTAGCGTGACTTGTCTGACTGCACACACAGAATGCTGACCTTGGCATACAACACAATCTCTGATTTCTGTATGAAAGGCAATGCAAAACTGAGAATTTAAAAATATTTTTAAAATAATGACAGACTACTTAAAACTCTTAAAACACTTACCTTTCCTCTAATTTGGGGGCTTTGGGGCAAATTGTATCTAGTTCTTCAGATGCTTCCAGCTCCTGAAATAAACACATGTGCCCATTGAAGAAAACGTTTATAGGTAAATCCTGGTCACACCCTAACAAACTCCAGTCACAATCATCTCATCAGAAATGCTATGTATATGTTCCAGACTCAGGCTGGCAAATGTAGAGGTTCTTGAGAAATTTATACTTTAAACTTATTACAGCACTTACGAAACTACACTCTACGGAAGACTCTATACCCGGTACAGACTTCCAAATTCTAACCTTCACAATGTCAAGTCCTCCAATGAGCTCGCCAGAAACATAGAGCTGGGGATAGGTGGGCCAGTTGGAATAGGTTTTGAGGCCCTGACGAACTTCTTCATCTGAGAAGATATCGAAACTGCTAAACTGAATCTTGTGTTTGTTGAGAATTTCCACCATCTGCTTGCTAAAACCTGCATACGGAAAAAGAAAATAGAAAACTTAGTTTCTCTCTCGTTCATATACATACACACAATTTTGAATTCAGAGTACATATATCTACGAAACATAGATGCCTGCCTCTATTCTGCCAGTGATTTAATAAGCATATCTGAATAGTGTGTAAAGAGAAAACAAATTCCAAGAACACCTTATCTAACGCTAAACCACATACCACATGTTCAGGTATGATTTAACTTTTTCATACACTTGTGAAATTTTTTAAAAAATGTGTGTGTTTATCAAAGTTCCTTTTTGATATCAGGCACATTTTTTGTTGTAAAAGAAACAGTACTGGTCAAAAAGCAAAGCCTCAAGCCCTGCACCTGGCTCCATCCACCCAGGGGAGTCACAGGTAAGCCCTAGGCAGCCACCTCCCTGACCTGTCCCGCCCCATCAATCAGGTGGCTGACCTGGACACTCTGGACAGACCCTCCCAGCTCTGTTCTGTGCATCTATGAGAATCAATACTGGGGGAAGAGAAAGCTCTACAGTAGTTATTTTTAACCACTACTTGACCACACTGGAAATCCAATTCGGTTTGGTTTCTATTCCCTGTTACTATATCCCGTGTAGCCACCCCAGCAGTTTTCAATCTTTACTACTCTAAATAGAAGAAATTAAAAATTAGGTGAATATGTTCTGTTTTGTCTAGTACACTGATTTCAAAGCTGCCCCCTCTGCTCTTATATATGAGCTGTCAATAAGCTGAGGGTGTTCTTTCTCATCTGGTGTCATAACTTGACAGTTTCTTTTTTCAAACTATTTACATTCCCCAAAGTACGTTATGTGATTTTCCCCTGCACCCTAGTGACCATCTCATGCTCCATGATTTTATTATACTTTGGTGACACATTTTTGTTCCGTACTTTTTTGACATCATTTTCTTAGGATGACATTAGTGCTGAGAGTAAGAGGGTGAATATCGGTCTTTTATAATCTATTAGTCTTGTCTGAAAGGGGCTATTTTTCTTTCCGTAATCTAAGCCTTCCCAACTCTTTCCAGTATTCGGGACTCCTTCACACCCCACCATTCTTCTTTTCAGACAGTCCTAAGTCTCTGGAAAATTTAAAACAGATTTAACAGCATCAGCAATCATTTGTAAATAAAATAAAATCATAAAATTGAGTATGAGGTTATTTCAAGAACAGGCTCTACTTGATGCCAGAGGACAGCACCTTTCCTACTAAAACGTGGCTCTATGGTAAGCTCCAAGCACCTCCCAGCCCATAGCTGGCTGAGAGGAAACACGGTACAGGGCGGATAAACAGGTTTACCGCTGCGAGGACACAAACACACAGCTTATTCTTGTATTATTATTTATTAATCATTGCATTATTTTCCATATGAGCAACTATAAACCTACTTTTGTCTCCCCTGCCATATTTATTTGTGTAGAAGCTGCTTTTCCTACAACTGAAGTGTTAAGTTCATGTACAGCCTGAAGTAAACACTGATTCTGAAATTTTTTATTCATCCGGGAGTTCATTAGTAAACAGCTAACGGCCGATTGCTGACAGTTATTCTGCTGCCAATATATTAACTCATTTCTACTGTAACTGGCTGAGAGAAAGCTTTGTTTTAGCTTTAGGCAATTACATGCAGACTAGAAAGATTGATTGGTAGTGTTTCGTTTTTAAGGGTTAAAGTGGCAGACTGGAAATGTTATGCTTAAGGATAAAATAGTAAGAAGGCTTTATTCTAATAACAAAATATTTACACACCCTTTTTTAAAGAAAAGTGCATGCATGCAATAAAAATATTTAGAAGTAGAAAACCATGTTTAACTGCCACAGAACCACTCTTTCTACCCGTAGCCATTTCCACCGTGAACGAAGCCATGAACAATGAGCCTAACTGCCACGTTTCATCACTAACAATGAAACCCTAAGAACACTCTGAACCTGCAATGTTTTTGTGTCTGACTTAAAAAGTAAAACCCAATTACATGACTCTCACTGCAGGAGAAATTTCTGTACTGTGGTCAAATACCTTTCACTCTGCTAAAAGCTTTGTTAACTGAAATAGATAAAAGAATTCCCAAATAACTTAATTAACCTGCATGTCTGAGGATTTAACATTCTGCTTAAAAAGATGTACATCTCGGTGCTTTTTAAAGATCTCCCTAAAACATGCGGGCCCTCTCTGTCTGTCCCCCTGAGGAGCACAAAATGAGGATGATCTAATCCTGTCGACTGAGACCCTGTCAACATGTCAGGCTCACAACACTCTACAATCCTGTAGGCAGAGCCCAAGGAAAGGTGAAGTCGACAGAGGCATAAACCAGGCAGGGGCTAGGCTGAGTCCAAGGAGACTCCAGGGTGGACCCGGGAACAGCTTTCAAGGTTTCCTCAATACAAAATTTAAATGTTATTCATGTTTCCTGATTAACTGAAAGTGAGGTGGGGACCAGCTAATCAAAAAGCAAGAGTAGCTCTACTCCACCAAAGGAGTCAAAAGGAGCCATGGGCACTACTGACGGGAGAGCTTTCCAAGTGAATTCTGTGCAAAACACAGAGGTACCAGCCACCCGAGTCCACGCAGTCAGCAGCCATTGCGCTTACAAAGGAGGCTCTGCCCACGCTTCATCTCTAACCCACCAACGGAAGAGCAAAACAATTTCTCACTAACCAGGCTCAGGAAGGAAGGTGAAAGTCATGCACAATCCTATAAGAAAACAGTTTAAAGATAAGAGTGTGTGTCTCAGTGCGCACAGAAAAAGGCAAACAACAGGAGCAGGGTCAATGAGGGAAGTAACAGGGCACAAATAAAAGCACCTTCCAATGAATCCTTAGGCAGATATTTTATTAGAGACTGCCAGCACTGTAAAATGATCTACTTACTATATGGGACAGAAAGGCATGTTGTAACAGAAACCAAAGTATGGGGAAACAGAAAGCCTATTAAAAATGTAGTTATAGGTACTTGAAATATCGGGGAAACATTCTGTCAAGTATTTGATTGTCCAACCACTATGCTGTATACCTGAAAGGAATACAAAATAATAATATTGAATGTCAACTGTAATTTAAAAATAATTTTTTTTAAATGTAGTTATAAAAATTATAAAGAATAAAATTAGTACTTGGAATGAAACTGTAAAATCTTTGATATCTAAAAATCTTTTTAATTCCCTAATTAGGTCTTTTATTACCTAAATGTCTATAATATCATGCTTTCCAGATTGCTCTGAAATATTTTACAGCTTTTCTTATTCTAACTTATTTGTACAGTCTTCTAAATGCCACTCAGTTAATATAAAAATGGCCATAAATACATCATAAATTCAGTCTAATTAAGTAAAAGGAAAGCAGGAAAATGATTATTTCTAAGTGAACTGAAAAGGATTTCTGAGACTGGCTCCAACCTTCACCTCTGCCAAGGAAGAAATGAAGGCACAGGAGGGTAAATGACTTGCACCTCGAGCTATCAAGGCAGGTGGCAAGGGGCAGAATCTGTCCTCACCTCTGGTACCTTGGTTACCTGCCCCAAGCTTCAGTTAGCCCACTTGCCAATTTCATTAGGTTATCATTCAGCAGAGATGGAGAGAATGCTACTGTTTGATCCAAGAGAAGAGAATATTCTATTGGTTTTCCTGCAGGTTCACCTGTCTAACCCGTCACACAGGTTCACCCACATTTTGCAGCCAGATCTGCAGCACTCCAGACTCACAGAGGGACTGGACTGATATTCTAAGTCCTGTTATTGTCAGCACATAAAGTACAAGAAATGACTTTCATGCCTGATGGCAGAAAGTAAAGCAGTGCAACCTCCATTGAAAACAAAGCACCACCCAGAGACTGCCCGTGGCTCTCTGTACTAGCTCTGAGACAGACCATGTTAGCTTCAGTACATAAGTAGCTGGCCACCTGACATGTGAATATCGGCAAAGAAATTCTGCAAGTAGAACTGAGAGATAAAGAAATGATTTTCTTTAGAATTCATATTGAAACTTCACTTTTAAACTAGACTTTTCGTGATTTAATATGTAATTTACTAACCGTATAGGGAAGAATTTACAATTAAATTTATTTGGAAGCCTGGCTATTTCCATAAAGTCACCCTGGACAGGCAGCAATCCCATCAATAGCACCTATCTTCACAAAGCCCCTCCTGTGCAGTTGAAACAACTGCTCTTAGAGTCTCAGCACCATCCAAAGGCATTAAATGCTTGATTATGCAGAATACTGCTGTACTCGGCATAGTACAAAGGAAACAACATAAGCCCAATACCGGGGGTGGAGGGGAGGGTCAAATAATTGTAAAACTTACTTAAGGACAAAATCACAAGCATCTATGTGGTTCAGAAAACAAGAGTGACTATAAGACACAGAATTAGGACTCTTTAAATTAGCATAAGCTACAAACTTGAAATGACAGCGATGGGTGAATAACACAGTTACTAGATTCTGAGAGGCAAGAGGACAGGCAGCAGTACCCAGGGCAGACACAGGACACTAGCAAAATCCAGTAACCCTGCAAACTGCTGGCCCTGGACGTGGTAAAAGGAGGCTGCCACAAAGGAGAGGATAACTGTTAACCATTAAGTTAAGAGAACAGGCAAAAAGCCCATTCATGGAGCCAGCAATATGCAGTTGGAACCTAATCCCAACTCTGCCCAGGAGACAGACCATGGGCAAGCTGAGCTGCCTTCACATCTTTGGGTTACTTACACATACAACAAAGGTCTTGAATTAGACTACTTCTAAGATGCCTTTTGGTTCCAACATTCTGCATCTGTAGTGCAAACTAATTCACATCACCCAATTAATTATCTAACACCCCTGGGAATTAGAACCTTTCTGATTTTCTGGAGGTATCTGAACCCAAGCATACAATGCATGGCACAGCATGAAAACAGCGTGAGCACCTCGTCTGACCCATCCTGATGAAGGCCCCTTTGTTACAGGATCTTAACAGCAGCATCTTACCACAGCGCGGCTCCTGCGGAGTCCCTTTCATAAACAGCATGCAGGGGGCAGCGTGAATTAATTTCTTCAGGCGAATGTTGAGGTCTTCTTTGGGGTGCTCACTACCACTGGGTGGGAGGGAGCCCACAGATGCGTGTCGCTGAACTTTTTTGGTCAACTCTGGGGCATGTGCACCATCTAACTGGTCAATTTTCTGAGAATTCTAAAGTTAAAAAACTCATTTAGAATACGTGTGGCATTCTTTCATCACCTCTATATTTTAGGCTCCAAAATTATAACAAGTATGAATCCATAGTTCTAGCCAATTTTTAAGGGGTCAACACTATTATTGGAAAAGTTTTTAAAAACCTGACTCCAACTGCCTGCAATGCTTCTCAATCTTAGAAATAACTGTTCTTTTTTTTTCTTTTTTCTTTTTGGGAACATACTAGGAAAACATCTGTAAATTTTTCAAGTGTCAAATCCCTTCAAGTGGTTGATGTTTTTCAGAATGTGGTACAAACAAGTTTATGACACGTTTACATTTAATGAGACTCACTGTGCTGGCTGTAAACATCGCCTCTACATCTCAAACTCAAACCATATCAGAGACTCGCCTAAAACAGAAAGGACTTCCCCACCCTGGCTGGGATGGGTCCTTTATTAAGTATAAAGGAGGTACTGGGGACTGTGGCAACACCCAGGGACGCCCGAAGCACAGATCTGCACGGCTTCCTGAGGGAGTCATTAATCAAACCAGGACCAGCCCAAGGTTTTACTCTGTCCACACACCCTTAGCAACCAGCTTCAAACCCAGCGTGGAAACACTGTGGGTCTACAGCATGTTTCTGAATTGTTCTCAAGAAGCTCCAGTACTGGCTGCTGGACCTCCAATCCACTCACTTCCCCCCGGCCCTGGGCAAGCAAACACCAAGACCACAAAAAGGGGCAAAACCAGGAACAACCCAATGGGAATGTCCAGGGGTCAGGGGAGAGGACAAAGGACCCAAAACAGAAACCCCGCGGCCCAGGCAGAGGGAGACTCTTGTGCCAGCTTTCTTCTTACCTTGAAAAACAGAAAGGTGGGAACAGAGCTAATTTCATATTTTTCAGATACTTCAGGAACGGCTTCAGCTTCCAACTTTAAAATAAGAGAATTTAAGCTTGATTATAAAAAGTTCCTTTTAGACAACTTCGATATGTAAACCAGTTTCACATGCATTATCCCTTCAAGTAGTTGATGTTTTTTAAAGAGTGTGGTACAAAAGTTTATGACACATTTACATTTAAATGAGACTCACTGGGCTGGCATGTCATCCACTGAGTCTGCAATGTCAAAACAGGTTCAGAGGTTTTTATTTTGTTGCACATTTCAAAAGATGCCTGGAGGCTGTGAATAAAATTTTTGGTGCACTAGTGACCTAGTAAATTTTCAATCATATGCAGCTACTACTATATTGAAATCCATAAATCACTGACCCCAGTTATGTCATGATTACAGTGCTTATTTTCTGCCCACAGCAATTCTTGCTGTTTGCTCTATTGACTAATTTCAGGAGGCAGTACATCATGACTGACAGTTGCAGCCTTCTGCAAATTATGAAGCAAAAAGGAGTATTTCTTCAATAAACTATTGATGTCTGATAAATTTTACTTTTAACTCCTGCAAGGCTGCTGAGCACAAAGCAGATACTTTGCAGGTTCCTTGCTTCGGGTCTCTGCACCCATTTGAGTGCCTGTAAAATGAAATGACTGCATGCTTGTTAATTCCCCTCAACAAGACACCATGTGAGAGCTGACACCAGGGTTTGAAACACATTTAGTAACACAATTTCCCAGTAATTAGAACACAATTACTATAAAGCTATTTATGTAAGACTTTATAAACAGTGCACTTTGAAAAAAACTGACATATATTGTATCTTTCCCTCATAGGACTGTCAATGTAATATAAAACTTTTTAAAACCAATAAAAATCTGTATTTACATTATACCTGTAGGAAATAAAATTTATTGATAAATTATATTGTTAAAAGTTTTAAAAATATATCTACTGTATTTTTCCAAGACTGAAAGATTTCCACTGGGTTTGAAACACTATTTTTAGCTAGAGCTTTAACCAACCCAGCAAATCTACACAAGTGAATCTTGACGCTAGTGGGAGGCACAGCCATTTGTCTTGGGTGATTCTCCCCCTCAATTATTCTTGGGTGCTGCTTTACTACCTTCATTCTTTCTTCTCTAGAACACCCTTTTGAAACAATATTTTTAATTATTTTCATTTTTAAATGTATTTATGTGCAAAACTAGACACACTTTAAATCAACATCAGCTGTCCAATAAAAATGAAAAAGAACAGATAAGACCACGCACAGGAGGCAGCTCTTCAGAACAGACTCTCGTGAAGTGTAGACATGTCCGTGCTGGCTTCTTTCCCACAATTCCACAGTCAAACCAAAGAGCAGCAGAAAAGGTGGCGACAAAGGGAGTTCATTATCTCCTGTCTTTCAACTGAGATCGAGGAGTGCCCACCACGCACTGTGGACTGGGCACTGGGCTCAATAAATACCCACCTTTGGTCTGACTGAACTCTAACAGCAAAGTACAAATCCAAAGGAGGGCTACGCTAATAGAAACAAGATAATATGGTCTTAACCCAGAACAAAGCAGGTAGCATCCTCACGCATAAAAAATTACTGTATGCTTTGAAAAGCTGGTCTCTTCTCACATTACTCCTGGTTCCAGTAAGGTCCCTTACTGACCACTCTTCTGGGAAGTAAATGAGCCACCTGACATTCCTGCTGAAGGCGGAAGGACCACTACATGTGCCTCCCCTCTATGAGCTCCCCGAGACCAATCGCAATCAGACAAAGGCAATGGAGACAGACAAATCCTCCTGAGCAAAGGCCAGGAGTACCAATAAAGGCACAGCCACTCTCCAGAATATCAAGGGTATGTGAAGTCCAAAACCCTTTGCAGCACTAAAACTCTGGAAATATTTTTGTTGACTGTAAAACATGAGTTATAACAATGAAAATGGAAAAGAAATATACAAATATTTAATGATTATCTGCATTCAGAAGACACTGAAGATATCTCTGATGGACAACAGATAGGCCTTTCATGGAAGGCCTACTGAGTCACAAACCATGACAGGCCCTTTACATAAGCGTGCCCAGCCTACTTACAACCTGGACAGGTATGCAGCATATCATGTCAACTTCACAGGTGGCTAGGTACAGGTGGCTTGTCCAAAGACACACAGGCCGGCAGCCAAGCTGAGAAGCAAATCCAGTGTGCCTGACTACAAAGCCTGTGTTTGTTTCAATACGGTTAACTTTTCTACTACAACCATCAGAAAGGAAGATTAAATTTCAAAGCCAGGATTTTACTCATGACTTCAGGACCAACCAAATATGCACATTTCCAAAATGGACTACCACACAGAACGCCTTTGGTGGGACCACTTGCTTCCTGTACAGTGAATCTTAAACCTGGACCCTTCCCGAGCAGCGTGCCGTGGGTCTGTGGAGAAGGGGTGAGCAGAGGCAGGGGGTGTGACTACAAGATAAATCCAGAGGTGGGGCATCCTCTCTCTATAGTCTACTTCAATTTACCAGGGGTCACCAGAGGCCACCATGATAGTAATGGCTTATAGCTATGATTTAACCCAGCCAGACAGGGTTCTGGTGCATTTGTATATTGACTCATTTAATCCTCACAACTATAGGTGCTGTCATTACACCTTTCTTATAGAAGAAAGTGGACCTGGAAGACGTTGGGTGACTTGGTCAAGATTACAACACTGTTGAGTTGTGGAGGGAGACAGTCTGGCTCCAGAGCCATGTTGCCATTTTACCAAGCCCAACAGTCACCCATTTTTGCTCATTTTACTGACCTTTCTGTGTCATTCAGTAAGTATGACCACACTGACCTTTCTCTGCTTTCTCTTCCCTCTCTAACTCGTAGACTCATCTCTGGCTTCTTCCTCCACCTCTGGCCAACCACTGAGGCTACACCTCCCAGGACTTGGTTCTGAGTCTGCTAATCCACTCACTCCCCTACAATGGGTTTCGTCTAACCCCACAGCTCAAAGTAGCCCCAATATGGCAATGACACCCACGCTGCATCTAGGCCAGACCTCTCCCGTCACCTCCACGTAAGCACTCAACATCGGCACGTGGATCTCTCTCTGTCATCTCCCACTAAACCTGAGTTCCTATCATTTAATCCATCCAGTTGCTCAAATCAAAAAGGAGACAACCTTGACTAATCTTATTTCCCTCATCCCTGACATCCAATCCATCAAAATATAAGGTCATCTGGATTCCCCCACCAAAATATAAGCAGATTCAGCCCTTGACATCAGTTCAATGCTCTCTCCTTGCCAGTGTCCAGGGCATCTCTCACCTGGCCTAGTGAAATAGCCTCCTAACTGGTGTACCTGCTTCTAGTCTGCACCCTTACCCCCTTCAAGCCATTCTCCACAGGAGCCAGAGTAATCGACTTAGGAATCGGACTGTGTCATTTCCACTGCACTCAGAATACAACCCAAACTCTACCACTACCCACAGGGCCACCTGGCCCTTGCCCACCTCTCCAACCACAAGCCATACCCTCTCCTCCTCTGCTACCCGCCAGCCCCATTGGCCTTGCCGGCCCCTCCAATAGTCTGCACCTGCTAACCCTATGCCTCAAAGCTCTCCCCCAGCTCTTCCAATGACTGTCTCTCTTATTAGGAAATACCACTAGATCTTGCAAATATTTCACTTCTCAGATGCTCACTGTGGAATAGCAACAGCAGTCTTTTAAATGATCCACCTCACAAACTCCATGCCAACTGCCTCTGCCCTCCTTGACGTCTAGTGAAAGAAAAACTGTGCCACAGAGCAAATAGCCAGAAAGTAACCACACCTGGACAAGTGACCCATCTACACTGTCACCCTCCCCGAGAACGGCAGATGCAGTTGGGGTCAGGTATCTCCGACAGATAAGGGCTTCCTGACCTTGGCTTGCTGAGACACTTAAGCACTTGAACAACTTAAAGTCTCACTGCCAAGTCTGGTACCAATGTGAGAAGTAACTGTAGAGTCCCGTTAAATAAATCATTCAGATGGCAGCTAGGAACAATGTGCTACCTAAACCAGTAACATTATACACATAAAAGCAGACTTACGACAATTACCATCATCTTGATTAATCTTATGATTGAAACGTTTAATCATTCATTTCACTTGTAATCGTTATCTTTTATCACTGACCAAACATGCAGTTTTAATGTCCCCTTCTATTATTTATACTGGACATTTTAGGGTTACATTCTAAGGTTACATTACACATTTCATTGGAATTTTAAATAAGTCCTTAAATTTTAAAAAGCTAGCCATTATATTCATACATGCTCTATCTGCATAAAGAAACACTGGAAGGATTCATACAAAATTAATACAAGCAATTACTTATGGGGGGACAACAGAGCTGACAGGAGGAAGCACGGTGAGGCTTCTCAGCACAGCTTTTCAGTTCTGATTTTTGAGCCATCTAACTGCAATACCTATTCAGAGCACACGTATCTATAGAGAAACTGTCTGAAAATTATACACCTACTGCACAAATGAATTAGCGCAATCTCTGTGTTTTCAGTTTACATAGGAAGTGGCACACAAGGCCAGCTGATGTCACTTTTAACTCTATCTACAGATATATTTACCAATGTGTATTATGAACTCAAATTCTGGTTTTAAAAAATAAGGCTTGGATTTTTTGTTTGTTTGTTTGTTTTAAATCCTAAGGATACAGGCTTTTGAATAGAGGGTGTGCCCCTTTTGCAATAATTCATAGACTTTCAACTCATATTCTGGCCTCTTGCCTAAACCAGTACCAGCCCCAAATGATAGTGTTAAATGTACTAAACCAAGTAGGCCACAATGATCACCTTCCCAGTGCTTACCCGCTCAAGAGACACTGCAGATATGCAGCATGCAGAACTCGGTACACACACACAAAGCAAGAGACTGTCCAGCTTCCTTTGTCCTCTGCTTCCTGAGCAAGTTAGAAAAACCTTCGGGTTCTCCTGCAAGTCTGCCCAATCCAGAGAGCAACTCTTCCTGTCCCCCCATTCCTAGCACCTGCACCCCCTTTCTTCAGTCACTTTCCACATTACGCCTAGCTTTTCAATGAAATGTGTCTGTTAATATTTTTCCTCTATTAAAACCACAATTATCCACAGTAAGTGATCTAGTCTGCTTTTGCTCATAGGCACCCCCCCACCCCCATAGCCTATTCTGCTCTATACTGGTCCTGATCGTCCCACACACCTGTTAGGGAAAGTGTGGTTTTACACTAGCTGGTACTTGAGAAATGCAAAACTATTTTAAGATTTTTAAGAAAAGTTTAGTACAAAAATAAAAGATCCCAACCTCAACTATAAACATGTGGAATTCCTCTCTCACATTAGTTCATATAAACTCCTAAAAGACATGACACTGAACATGAAATACCTTCACAAACGAAACCTGGGGGTGTTCTTTGGCTAATTCTGCCATCACGTCGTTCATCTGAACACACTGCGGAGCCCATGGTGCCCAAAAATGGACCACAACGAGGGACCTGTAAATAAATAAAATGCCGTTTTAAAAAATCATGGTATCTTTGGAAATAAGCAAATACTGATATAGATTAAATTCTAGCACCAAAAGATTTTATGAGACCTGCCCAAATTCTTTTCATTCTGCTAGAATTTTGTGTATTAAACACAGACTGAGATACAAGGATCTTTTAGGTGAATTTTCAAGTTAATGATATTTCTTGAGTCACTACTTAGCTCACATGAAGTGGTTCTGGATAGTCATCCATCTCAACTAACAGTCATGTAAATCACCTCTATTTTCAGACCCTTAGAAAGGTGGAGACCAGATTTCTGTAGCTAAAGTACAATGTTCGTAAAAAACGACAGTAGAAGCATGACTCCTGTTAATGTTAGTATTTACCTTATTAACACAGCACTACGATGAAGGAGCATAATCGCAACCATAGGAACAGGAATAAAATGTTGAAAATGAAAGCATCCAAGTAGAAAACATGGAAAAAACTGAACTGCTTTTTACAAAGACATACTTTTTATATTATGCTACAAAAGATTTTCTAAAAATTGATCGTATGAACAGACTAATACTGGATTAATAAACTGTTGATGAAATTCTTAGGAATCTCTGTATATATCTATCAACTATTCTCATATAAAATTATCTTGCCAAAGATATCTTTAAGTCTATCCTCATATCCAAATGAAAAACCCTAGTTTTATAAAATTCTAAGTTCAAATATAATCCCCCTAACAAACAAAAAAAAAGATCTGAGAAATCAGAAACGTGTTTTAAATATGTTACAAGCAGAGAGGAACCAAGGATAACTAACCTGTGGGCAAAGAAAATAATACAGTAAAATAGAATGGATGAAGTGCCTACTACCCAGTGTCAGGAGAATGGAAGCAAATGGAGGCACTGGGGTTTCAGAGGCAGGAGGGGTAGGATTTGGTGACACTGGAGGCACAGTCTAGAGCTGACTCTGAGTTTCTGGCTCAGCGACAGATCCTATAGTACAGAAGCTGCCAACCTGAGTGGAAAGGGAGTCTAATGGGCTGTTCCTGATGATCTGGAACTCAGGAAAGAAGTCTGCACTTGTTCTGCAGCTTCGGGAATCAAGAAATAGTCTGGCACCATGCACATCCATGCAGTGGGACAGAGGCCTGGTCAGAGCCTCTGGGCTCTTCAACAGAAAGCAGTAGGACAGGTGGAGGAAAAGGAGCCCAGGTAGTAGACCAAAGGTACAGCATGATTAGAGGGCCTCCCAGACGTCAAGGAAGGGGTGACAACCATCTGATGCAGCAGGAAGGACAACTAGCAATGGGGAGGAACTCCAGTGGTGGCAGGACAGGTCACACTGCAGCGTGTAGATTGAAGATGAGGAAGTGCAGACTGCTAGAACTCTGCTCTTTAAGAGATCTGGCTGTAAACAGAATGAGGCAAAGGCAAAGACAGGATCAAGGAATGGGTTTTAATACAAGAAAACCTGGACAGTTTACTTTGTGAGGGGACAGGCAGAGGCTGAGGAAGACAGGGGTTGAGTGTGCGAGGTCTCAGAGGCCACAGAAGGGGAGATCTAGAGGAATTCACCTTGAGAAAGACTGTCTCCTCTGGATCAGAAGTAATGGCATCAATAATGGGTGAAGCTACAAATAAATGTATAGGTGTTGGGAGAGGGACAAGTAGAAGGAGGGCTTGGGAGATGCCTCTGGAAGTCCTGTTTTCCCAGGTAGCAAGGTCATTGCTGAAACCACAGATAATGACAAGGGCAGAGATAGGACTGATGCTGAAGGGAAAGCAGCCCCGGGATACACCAAGGAAAACGAGGAGAGCAGGAAGTTCTAAAGGGAGATCCACCTAAGGCAGGAAAGGACACACTGTGGGGCTACCAAGCAGTGCATTGTCATTTGTATCAGCAGAACTAGGAAGCTGCACTGTGCAAGTAGGTGACCTCAAGGTCTAGGGCAGAGAGGCCTGTGTGTCCTCCAGCACGGCTTCCTCTTCCTCTGGGGCAGACAGCTAGGCTGCATTTCCATCTTCCTTGCAGCTGTTCGGGACCCTGGATCTGCATTCTGGCTGCTGGGATGCAGGTCAGAAGTGATCTACCTGGCCCCTCAAAACCTTCCCACGTGAGCCTCTGCAGGCTCCAGCCTCATCTCACAGAGACTCTGGAGCGTATACAAGGGGACCCCAAGACCTAAGGCATGATGAAATGGGAAGCAAGCCCCCAAATAATCCATGCAAGAACATTCACAGCAGCCTTGGACATAAAAGCCAAATCCTGGAAATAACCCAAATGTGCACAAACTGGAGAACTTGTTGTAAATTCATACGGTGGAATACTACTCAGCAATAAAAAAGAACCAGCTATGGAGACATGCAACAACAGGAATGAATCTCAAACACATACTGAGCAAAGCAAGACACAGGAGCCCGGAGTTGCATGACTCCATTTACAGCAAGTCCAAGAACAGGGAAATCAAGTCTACAGAAAGCAGGTCAGTGGTGAGGATTCCTGGGAAGGGGCTACAAACTTTCTGGGGCTCTCTACCCTTGTTTTAAATGATGGTTTCTTGTGTGTATACAATTGTCAAAATTCATCACACCTAGCAATTAAGACCTGGGTATTTTATTATAAGGTTAATGCCTCAACTTTTTACCAGATTGAAAAAAGATTTTTAAGATCGTAATATTCAGTGATAAAAAGGATAGACTGATGCCCGGCTGGCAGGGCTCAGCAGCTAAGCATCGACCTAGGATCCAGGAGATCGGGGTTCGATTCCCGGTCAGGGCACGTGCCCGGGTTGTAGGCTCCATCCCCGGCAGGGGGTGTGCAGGAGGCGATCAATCAAAGACTCTCTCATCATTGATGTTTCTATCTTTCTCTCTTCCTCTCCCTTCCTCTCTCTGAAATCAATAAAAACATATTTAAAAAAAAAAAAAGATATAGTGAAATATCCTGCTGGTTAAAATTAAACTGGAACTTTCAGAAACTTCTTACACACTTTCAAGTATCTATCCTATGAACATAATTAAAGAGACGAAGGTTTATGTATATGAATACTTGCCCGTTATTTTACATAGCAAGTACCTCTAAAAATATATAGTCTAACAATACAATTTTTAACAGTCATGTAACAAAATATTATAAAGCCATTAAAATCATGTCAAAGAATTTTTAATGGCATGGGATATGATTACATTTTTAAAAAATTAAAATAGATTACCAAACTTTTTAAGAGTATGAACCAACATGCAAAAAAGAAAGAAAAAACACACATACAACTTAAATTCCTTTACTATTAACATGGTTTTAAAGAGTACTTTCTCTTAACTTCCACATCTGAAATAGCAATGACTAACAGCCTGGGATGTTGGGAAGAGCAAACAAAAATATAAAAGCACTTGGAAAACTGAAGAATGATATTAATGTTAATTGTTACTTCACATTATCCATAATATTCTCACATTTAGATGCTTAACGTCCACTTTCCAATTAAGTACATAATACCTACTGTCATAAAGACACACACCTGAAACAGGCATGAATGCTGCCACCAGCTTGGACTATGCGGAAAAGCATTCTCTCCACCTTCATGGACAGCCCAAGTGCAGAGTGCGCCGTTTAAGGAGACCTCAGAGAAAGGCCAGGTTCAAACCCCGACTACTGTGGTTCGAAACCATTAGTGCTCAATAAACAGCTGTTTCTCTATTATTACAGGTGTTCTGCTCCTACCCTTTCTTATCTGCAGCAACCATTTTAAAACACTATCCTGTTAAATATTTTACAAATAGGCAAAACCTTAATTACTCTGCAAATGGCAGTTACTATCCCCACTGTGATAAGATTATTTAAGAAAAAAACCTTTTTTTCAACTCTTGAAATTGTAAAAGTCTAGAGAAGTGAAGATTTGGAAAGTGGGCTTTAAACGATTACACTAAGGACTGCTATTTAATATTCTCCCATGCTTCCATTTTCACAAAAAGCTGCAGGAACCTGTACCCTCCCAGGTGCCTGGCATCACGCCCTCTGTGCCCACGCAAACTATGGGAGTGGCGTAGTGTTTTCTGCGTCGCTTCGAGGATAGACCAGTGGCAAGAATTCACCCGAAAGGCATTTACATTTTAACTTTTACCGACTGTGAGGACTACAGCATTTAAAGAACGAAACACACACACACACAAAATGGGAAACAGCAAAATCGTGCTCCAGGGACAAGTTCACTTACGCAGGGCAGGTCCACACAAGCCCTGCTCCTTTTGAGAGGCCGCCTCTGGACCCCCAAACCTCGCTGCTTTAGCGTGGGCGGTGGGATGAACCCCAAACCCCCTTTCATCACTGAGTAAACGGCGGTCCCCGTCCTTTTTCTTCTTGAACAATGTTCCAGGTGACCCTAAACTGTGCCAAAGGGGCTGTTCTGCTTTAACGCTCTTAACTTCATCACCCCCGGAGCGCGGGGCCAGCTCCGAGCGAGGCGGGAACTCGCGCCCTCCCCACGTCACCCGCGCTGGTCCACGCGGCTCCTGTCTCTCGGCGAAATCCCGCTGCCCCCGCGTGAGCCGAGAGCCCTTCCTGCCCGTGCGCTCCACGCAGGCGCCGAAGCCCCGAGGGCCCACGCCGAGGGCGCGAGTGCGGGGCGACGCGCGTGACCTCCCTGCGTCACCTCGCTTAACCACCCCCGAGGGGGGCCCCGCTCCACTCCCTCCCGCGGTGAGGAAACCGAGGCCCAGCGTGAGCCCTGCCCAGGGTCCATCCACCTGGCTGGTCGGGGGCCGAGCGGGGGGCCGCTCGCAGGCCACTGACGCCGCAGCTCCCTCCCCTGTCGCCCACCAGCCTCCCCAGGCCTGGGCTGGAGGACGCGACAGACCCCCCAAGCCAGGTGCAGTAGTCGCCGCGACGCCCGCGAGCCCTGAAGGTCCGGGTCCCTATTTGTCCCCAACGCGGCCTCTGGGCAGCCCTGTGGGTGTCCTTCCCAAGGGAGACGAGCAGGTGCCCCCGCGGCGCGGACCCCCGCAGGCCTCCCGTCAC